TGGGAGGGATCTTGGAACAGGGATGTCAGAGGTGGGAGGGGCCTTAGAACAGGGGATGTCAGAGCTGGGAGGGATCTTGGAACAGAATATGGAATATCAGCATTGAGAGTCTCCTCCAAGTTATGTGGTCCAATAGCTTCCTCTTATGGAGAGGAGCTGAGGCCAGCAGAGTGAAGAGGTAAGCCGCCCAGGGTCACACGTCTTTGCAGTGGCAGAGACCAGCTCTCAGCCCTTTCCACTGGCTGTGCTGACTCTTGTTGGGGCTGCCATCAGTCACCTGCTGAGCCTTCCTGCGGGCGTGGGGAGGCAGGCTGGGCTCTGAGCCACTCTTGCTGTCTCGTAGATCACTCTTCAGGATGGCAGCCTGGGGGAGGATGACGGTGGGACCCTCGACTACCAGTCAGAGCCCAACCTGGACCTTCCTGACTACCACCGGAGCGCCCTTCACAAGACCTATCAGTCGTCGCCTCTCCACATGGATTCCTATGCCGCCAACTCGCGGTCCCTGAGCCTGAAGTCCGCCAGCAGGCAGGGGACGGACCAAGTCGCCCTTCATTCTCTGAAACCAGAAGGAGCCCCCCCAACCCCCTACAAGACTATATTTTCTCCCAACTCCCTGTCTAACCGCAACAGCAGCCTATCATATGACAGCCTGTTGAACCCCATGTCGCCAGCAGGTCGCAAGTGCCCGGCCCACTCGGTGGTCAGCTCGGCGGGCTACCACTCGCCCTACCTGTCGGCCAAGATGTGTCACCTGCGCGGGGGGGAGCTGCAGCGGCCGGGGCCCCGCAGCTTCAGCCCGGTTCTGGGTGGGGGCGCCCCCAGCTCGCACCCCCGGGACCCTTCACCCGTGCGCTATGACAACCTCTCCAAGACCATCATGGCCTCCATCCAGGAGCGCAAAGAGATGGAGGAGCGAGAGAAGCTTCTGCACTCGCACCCGGACTCGGTGTTTGGCGACTCTGGCGTCTACGACACCCCCAGCTCCTACAGCCTCCAGCAGGTCAGCACGTTGTCGTCCGACGACCCCCGCGGCCTGGCCCTGCCTTGCGGCTCCCGGGAGAACCTGACGTCGGCCAGTGGCGGCTTCGGCACCAGGAGCCCCTTGCTCCAGTCATCTCTGTCCTCCCTCTCGGGGGTCATGGCGCGTGCCCCGAGGACTTCCACCACCTCCCTCCAGGCTGACTTGGCCAATAATAACGTTCAGAGCCACCAGACACTGCAGGGCCGGGGGACCGCTGGTCCCTACGTGTCCCCGGGCCACCAAGTCCCACCTTCCCCCTCTGGGATGCCGAGGTCGCCTTCCTATGGAGGCCCCAAGGCGGTCTCGTTTATTAATACTGTGGAAATCACAGAGCCGCCCCCTCTAGGAGTTCAAAGGTAAGTGCTGCCTGGGGTCCTCACGGAGGGCTCTCCTCTCCTCTGCCGCCTCGTCCGGTGGCCCCTAGCCCCCCAGGACCTGGCTTTGGCTTTGTGGTAGACTTCACAGTAGGATCCTCAGCCCCCTGGAGTAGGGGGGAGAGGCAATGCTGAGGATCCAGGTCCTCTGTGATACTGTCCCGGGGGACCCTGGCCCTCTGGCCACCAGCTGCCCAGTGCCTTGGCAACCCCTGGGCCCTGCCTGCCTCAGGACCCTGAGGATCTGATCCTTTTGGGCCTGGAGCCTCGTGCCTCCCTGGGGCATAGCTGAGCCCTATCCATCTGTGCCCCCGCTTCTGCTTCTGCTTCTGCTGCTGCCCTCCCTGGGGCTCACTGCTTCCCCTCCTTTTCTTTACCCCCTCCGCCACCCCCTGCAGACCACATCGGTGCGTTGTCTGGGATCTCTTCACGAGGGAAGGGGAAACTCTAAACTCAGAAACAATACCCGAGAGTGAGACCAGCAGGGTCGGGAGAAGATCCCCCAGGCCAGGCCACAGACTCACCCCTCTATCCCACGATGCTCCAAGCCTCCGGTCCCATTCCCAGATGCCGCCTTGGCCACGCCAGGCACAGCCAGAAAGGAACCCCCTTCTCTTGGCCTTGGCTGCTCCTTCCCTTTAGGGAAACCTTTCGGGGAGAAGAAGCCAGGGAGTCAGGAAGACCTGGGTTCCAGTCCTGCTCTGATACCCACTGACTGTGAGACCCTGGGCAAGTAACTTCACACCTCGGTGTTGTGGAACACTCCCTAAGATGGTCAGGAGCAGAGCAGGGGCCCACCTGCATTGGGAGAGGGAGCTTCCCCAAGAACAGGGCCCCATAACTATCCTTATGGATCAGAGGCTCCTGGGAAGGAGGTTTCTTTTCCTTATGAAATCCCAAGTTGGCTCCCTCCCTGCCTCCACAAATAATCGTGATGGAACCACAATGGAATCATCCCTCCTGATCTGATCACTCACACACATGCACACACACTCTCTCTCTCTCTCTCTCTCTCTCTCACTCTCACTCACTCTCTCTCTGTCACATACACACACACACAATACACTCACACCTACACATAATACACACACACA